TATTTACGATATTTGTAATAATTTTTGTTTAATCACTTTATTTCAACTATTTTTTGCTATTTAAAATGTATTTATACATTTTAAATAAGTGAATGTCTTGTTTTATACAAATGAAACAAATGCTATTCTTTTTATAAATTTTATTTACTTTAAATTAAAATATACAATCAATTAAATTTTAATTATAAAATCTATACATTTATAACATTTTAATAAATAAATGAATAACAACATGGAACATAATCATTTTGAATTTATCAAAATACAATCTGAATTGGAAGAAAACTTACAGAACATTATTTACATATTGATCATTGGCAGTGAAAGCAATGGAAAGTTATTTTATGCATATGATGATATTTGTACATTGCAAATACTTTAATGTCTAGACTATTATTCACTGAATATGTTTTGTAACAAAGTATTATAATAAAATTTTTATTTGGACACAAAACTAAAGAATATTTAACAATTATTAGCTGTATAATGGAAATTAATAATTATTCCCTGAACATTGTTTTCTTACAAATATGTACGTATATTTTTTTAAACCAAAATTTGTGGCATGGATATTAAATAAAAGGAACTAAAGAAATTCATAGTTCCATTATTATGAAATATTTACTGTTTGACATCTTAAAGTCGTCATTAGTTTTTTCTTTTTTTTTTTTTTTAGCAATAAGTGAAAATATTAAGTAATTAAATGAATACCATTTAACTTTTATTTATGATTACTGTACTAGTATACTAAAAATAATTATTAAATTTAATTATATAATTACATTTTAACATTTAACATATAAAATAAAAAATTGTGTATATGTAATGGATATAATTAGATTTCTGCCTCGAGTGACTCAAGGCAGAAATCTAATTTTAAAAGATTAGCATTTTATCAAATAAATAATTTGTATTCAATGTTTAAAATCATTTAGTTGTGAAGTATTATAACTGAAACTACAAATAAGACATATTTACAATAATAAACAAATAATTATTCAAAAAACTTTTAAAAGATATTTAATACACTTATCTTCCAAAATTCTAAATTTTAAAAATATTTTTAATATTCATTTAGTCTTTAGTGAATTACTAATTTATCAAAAATGCCCTGTATACTTTCTCATAATTTTTACAAACTGATCATAGTTGTCCTCTGTAAGAACGTAACAAATTCCATTTTGTTTTTGATTTGTATAAATCTTATAAAACATTGTTTAAAATTTATAAAATATTATTGCTGTAATTAAGAACTTTTATTTTTCAAATTGAAACAAAAATTCTATATATTTGTATTGCAATACTATTAACTTAATTAAATCGGGACTCCATGGTTGGCCCCTTCAAGGAGTCTTCAATCTCAACTTTTTATTGACCTACGTTGTCAGTTTTGCTAATGCAGATATGATGATGATGATAAATATTAATACTAGCTCACAAATAAATAAAATTGGTGAGCTAGTATTAATCAATACACAATTTTCATAGAAAAGATCTATTTAGTGTATAAATTTACAATATCCTGATCTATCATGTACTGTACAGTACATAACTAACCTACTGGATGAATAATTTTTTAACAAACCATTTTCAATTGACTTCCAATTGGCATCTGACTACTTTTCAACCCTCAAAAATGCCTCATTGACTCCTAGGGCTAATATTCACTGCTTTTGGGATTCCTGGTTCAAATTGTCATTTAAGATATAAAATATTTTTGTATTTTCAACTTTGCATTCAACAATGAAAATTTGTCTAGATTTACCCTTATATTTTTGAAGTTCTTTTATCTCATATAAAAACATTATTAAATATTTAGTTTCATAACAGTAGTACAGTATACAAATTTTTCCATTATGTTGTAGATAAACAAGTGGTAAGAGATACATACACGGAGATGACAATAGAAAGTGTCATAAAAATGAAGGAAATGATAACTGTTTTAATTCTTTCACAACATACTAAATTACCTTAAGTAATATGTTGACTATTACCTAGTAGATTGCTCTTTTGAGTAAATTATATATTAATGTATTAATTATTTATAAATTAAATTAATATTGAAAATTATTTTGAGTAATTAATTTTCAATTAAATTTATGAAAAATAAATCTAAGTAACAATAACTACTGTTTGATCTAACAAACCTAGAATTGATTTTTTTTTAGTAGTATTTATTGTTACTTATTCACAAATATTATTCCATGGCAATGTCTGTTAATATGTAATCACAAATTCAACATTTAAAAAAATATTTATGTAAATATACTACTGTACGTGGTACTAAAATTCTTAAATTTCAAATGAATATAAATATTCTCATAACCTGGAAAATTTTTAGTGTATAATATAGTGTGTTCATAATTAAAGTTCACATGTTGAAAAGATAACTCTGGAACTAATCAGCAGAATGACATTATATTTCATAAGAACATTTCTGTGGTGATGGAATTTTATTTGAAACCAAAAAAGGTAGTTACAAAAATGTCCAGTAGGACAGTAATTGGCATTGCAACACTGATGAATAACTCAAAATGTCTCAAAACTTACATACACATAGTATGCTGTGTTGTTATGCTGCTCTTTAAAATTCTGTATATTACTGTACTGGGTGTTGTCATTGAACATGTGCTTTAGCAATTTCAGCATGTTGCTGACAATGGAGTTCAGCATACAGATCATGCGCGTGTAGCCATATAGTTTTGTACCATGTGTATAGTAAGTTTTGAGATATTTTGAGTTATTCACTATGGTGTCACAGCACCACTTAATGCTCTAGTGGACATTTTTCTAACTAACTTTTTTGTTTTCAAATAAACTTCCATCATCATAGAAGTCTTCATGTGAAATATAACATCATTCTACGATTGCTCGGGCTGGCAGTACTCAAGAACTAAACTCAGCGCCCTAGGCAAATGACTTTGACTTCATCCCATTTTAAAAAAATTCGCAACAATGTAAAATAGAGTTTCTATTTTACATTCTATTTTACATTGGTGTTTTGTGTTGTTATATTATTTTTATTCAATATGCAGCACACACTATCGCAATCGTCAGACTACGGCGCTACTTTCAAAATGGCGACTCACAGGTCAACATATGAGAAAGGATTGTGATCCAAAAACATTTTTTCATTATTTATTGTAATTTATGCATGTATTTTCGTCATGCCGCCCCCGAATTCAAGTGTCCTAGGCCATCGCCTAGTTCACCTATATGAATGGGGCCGGCCCTGTTCTTGAGTTATATCTTTTTGAAATGAGAACTTTAATTATGATTATATATATATATATATCATGCATTCTACTATATGAAAAATATGTTTTACTGTCTGAAAATAATATTGACTATGTTTTTATATCAATGTAAAAGCAAAAATTAAACATGGTTGTGAACATATTTCTTTCTCTGATCTCAGGAAGGAGAAAATAAAATGCAAATTAAATATATTCAGGCATTTAACTTGTACTTTGTATTATATTATCTTTAATTTATTTTAATTTAACAAAAGTAATAATTTGATATATTGATTATATTATATTAAAGACATTGTTATATTTCATAATTTTGATGACAATGATAATATTTTCCTTATTTGCAATAAACATTTTGGCAGCAAATACTTTGATTTGTAAGTTGAACACAGATTGATTTTAGTTTTTAGTATCATCACAATAACTCTGCTTATATTTTTGTAATAAATTCTAATTATACTTTGAAATGAAAAATTCTACAGAACAATCATAAATGTAAATTATTGAAAAATGTCATTCTTATAAAAGTTTTACTTTGTCATAAATAACAAAACAAAATTAGATGTAAAATGTTCAGAATGTATACATAGTATGATCGTGCTGTACTTGGTCAGTATGTGAATTCAAAATCACATATCATACATATATATATTTTTTATTTTATACAATTTGTATTATAAATTATTATTCTTATATTACAGCTAGTTTATAACTAATAGTAAATTTACTAAGTATAAATAAAATAAAAAATAAAATAAAATAAACCTTTAACCTTCTCGTTTTTATTTATTTATTTTGTAAGTATAATTGAATAAATCAAAATAATGCAATTAGTGATATTTACAAGATCATAAATACATACAATACATATAATTAATCTGTTAACTATTTGTGTAATTAATTAAAAATAACTTTCAGTTGGATGTTTTTTAAGAAAAAATTCTTTTTGTAAACAGTTCTTATAAATTTTTATTACAAATTTCATTTAATTTTATTTTAATTATGCTAAGTTATTTTTTGCTTAGCACTTTTTTTTTATTTTTAAATAATTTATCTTCATAAATTAAGTAAAAAAATATAAAAAATAGTTACCATCATTGTCAAATACTGACATATCTGAAAAACACATCCTTCCAAAATTTAATTTATTTCATTCAGATAACTAGTCTTAATTTGTACAAATCTTTGCTTACATACATGTAAAATCATAATCACACTATACACTGTATCGTCATTATAATCTCTATTGATATTAATAGTATAAAGCTGTCTTTATTATATTAATCAGGGCTGTGGAGTCGCATAAAAATCTACCAACTCCGACTTTTCCTTACCATCCGACTTCGACTCTGACTCAGTTTCATATACATAACAATTTGGTAAGTAAAAGGGAGTCGGAGTCGGCGGATTTTTTGACGACTCCGACTCCACAGCCCTGATATTAATGTAAGCAAACTTCAGTCATCAAAGAAATTACAAGGAAATAATTAAAATTGAAATTATAGTGATTATACTAATCCATAACACATACAAACACATATAAAAAGCTATAAAATAGAAATCAATGATAAATTTTCTAATGTATTTATAATTTAGTCATTCATTTCTATAGATATTAATATAATTTTCCAGTTAAAATTTTTTTATTAAAAATGGTTTGTTATTCATTTTTTGGAAGTCTTTGAATGTTGGGTTTTTAATTTCATTCTGTATTGAGATACATTTGAATTTTCTTTTTAATTGCAGAGCATCCTTAACAAAGTCATAACTTGGAGTTGATGATCAACAGTTTTTAAAACTTCCATTTTTTCAGACGAGGTCATACTAAACAAACGTCCGAAGCAGTGACTCACATCATTATCAAAATACGTTTTGTTAAAAATTTAATTTTTTTTGTATGTTTAAATGTATGTAATTCTATTTCTTCTTCTAATTGTAATTTATTATTGACTTATTCTAAACTAACATTTAAACTATTACCATCAGATTATTAAAAATGATCATCAAATATATCTGAATCTTTTTATTGGCAATATTGTTACTTTTTGTATACTTTTATGATAAATAATTCTCATAGTTTTACTTGAAGTTTTTTGGGATTTAGATTCTACAAATCTTAATCATATTTTCTTTTTACTTTGTTTTATTTTATATGCTTTTTTACTAATTACCTTACACTTCAAACACTTCTTCCAGCAGATAGTTTCTTCAGCATATAGACTTTCCCCTCTTCAGGTACAAGAACAAGTTTATTTGATCTTTTGAATTCCAATCAGTGAGAGATGGTTGAGTTTCTACACAACTGAAAAAAATTTTTTTAAAAGCTGATGATCAATACCATTCAATTTGGATTCAATATATTTGAAAATTTGATTCAGATTCAAAACATACAAAAACATTTCAAATAATAAATGTTCATAGTTAAAGTTAGATGGCAGCAAAAAAGACTATACATAACTAAAATATTTCTTCATAGCCATCCTCATCCCTTACATAACATATTAGCATACATGCTGCTGCATAAAGCCTGCAAACTTATTTAATTAACCAAATACCTAAATATGGTCACCAGTGCTGTAACTAGGCAGGTGCAACAGGTGCACCCGCACAGGGCCCACTTGGAAGGGGAGCCCAAAATGCATGCATTTGTTTTATTGCACAGGGCACAGAAATGACTAGTTACGGCACTGGCGGTCACTTTTCAGGCCAAAAACATTAGTTTCTTCAGCATACAATCTGTTATAAGTAACATTTGAAGCATAAATTATTATTTATAGTTCCATCTTCTGTGTGCTTTGCTTTCTTACTAAATGAAGTAAGAAAATATATCAAAAAACATGGAAGTCTCTTACAATTTTATACTTTTGTATGAAGTTTTTATACAAATTTTTACAATTAAATAAAATAGACTCAATTAAATCCAATAATAAATTTTATTATTGGTCTGTTGGTTTCTGCTGGGTGTGAAAATCAATTGAAACCAATAAAATATCTATTCACATTGATTTTTATTGGTATAAATGTTTTCTTATTATAAGTTTTTATTGGAAAGATCAGACAATAGAAATTCTAGTGGTAATATATGTCAATAAAATTTTTATTATGACCAGTGATGTAATTAAAGAGAATAAATGAGAAAATATTAAAATAAATATTAAGTGTTCTTAATGTTGTCTATTTTCTTTGTCTAACATTTTGATAATTAAGAAATCATTGCTTGTTTCAGGAAGCCAACATCTATTAAATATTTATTAATAATAAACACTGACTTCATAAAAATAACTGTGATTTCTTTATTTATTTACAAAATTGGTGCCAAGTTTCATAACTTTTTATAATTAATAAGTACTTTTATTATATACACAACTGATTAACTCACTATGTAAACTACACACACACACACACAAAATAAATTACCTAACATTGAGCATTTTTGAGAAACTAATCATTTAGTTTTGAGAAAAAACTAAAAATTTTTTAAATCTTATTTTTACTGATAGATTAATATTTACTTTTTACATCTTAGTAATTTCAGTTTTTTTCTTCTCACAATAATAAGTTGGATGCTTGATGTCTTGGTTGTAACATGAATTGTTAATTCTCTTTCTACCCAATAGTTATTGTTATTATGAAATATTTAGTCTATTTTCAATGCATTGGACTAACAGATACTACTCGTCCAATGAAATTGTTGGTCGAATAGCTTCTATGGGTCTAAATCAGCACATAAAGCAATAGAAAATTTTAACAAAGTTGAATTCTTAATTGGTTCTATGCTGCTGGCTAGAGTGGATACTTTTTAAACAAAGAATAACTATAGGATTTCTCAAGAATAACTATAGATAACTTAGCTGTATGAACTAAATTAAATATCTGATTTGAAAAATTAAATTATATTTTTATTTCTTATGAATTGTTTTTGATATTTTGTAACTTTGACATACAAAATTTTCATTTTAACTATAGCAGAGGAATTTCAATTTGACATCATCTCAATAACTAAGCAATTAAACAAAATATTTCAAGAATATAAAATTTACCAAAATTTTTTGTAAGGTAATAGTTTACAGCTTACTTTTTATTTTTTAAAAATTTATGTCATCACAAATATTAATTATAAAATTCTCTAAAACCACATAACCGAGGACAATGATTTATATATAAAGGTGCCTTGAATTTTGGAAATTCAATCCAAAAGTCAATTTTGGTATAACTCATCCTTCCATATATTTTCAGCTGACAAAACTTTTAAGATATATGGTGACATTTTCTACCAATTTTGGGGTTTTGATAAAATCAAAATCATTTGTAAAAATTAATTTTTATTGTTTATTTTCTGTTTAATCAGTGAACTAATGTGTTGTAGCACATTCACTGTAAACACAAGTAAAAAACGTCTCTACTTTAGCAAGATATAATTTTTCTTTCTATCTCTCTGGAAGTGAAACTCCTTTCGACTTTTAACTTTTGTACATACTTTTAGGAACATATTATAAGCAATCTCCAACATTCAGAGATTTTGATGTTTAGGTTAAACTTAACTTTATCTGCCACTAGTGTTCTTTAGTCAATTCAGACTCCGAATGTTTCGACTCAATTAGTTAATGACTTGTGTACTTTCATTATAAAATTACAATTAAAAATGTCTTCAGGAAAAAGTCGTTTTATGTATGAATATGACATTTTAAAATTATTAAATAATAAACCAAGAATTTGTAGAAGCATTTTACTTGTTACAACATGGAGAGCTATCATGGCATTTAGAATTATAAAGTAATCCTGATGACTTGCAAGCGCACTTCTTCGTTAGGCATTTTTTTAAGCAGTTGTACTTCTTGAAACCTTGTCCTCTGGTCAAAGACAATTTTGCGACAACTTCTCGAAGACTTACTTCTTTACCTTTAATTTAACCCTTTCTGACTCATTTTCAACAATGCTTTCTTCCTTGTCCTGTTCGATTGCATTTTTGACGTTATTATTTTGTTCCGTATTGTCTTACGAATGCAACAACTTCTCTAAATCTTCTTCAGATCTTATAACTCTAATCATATCACTAGGGATTGCTGAAGTTGCAAGGCCCATTTTCATTGGACAACCAAACATTGCTTCGTAGGGGGAACATTTGATTCCCTCGTGATACGCTCTATTCTTCATTGCCTGAATGAATCTTAAACCCTCTGACCACTTTGATAACTGATTGGTTTCCATCCACGTACTGAACATATTTTCTATGTCTTGATTAGCACGCTCCGCTGATCCTTGACTTTGGCTATGTCTTGCCTTTCCATGTACGATTTTTACATCCGGCCACATGGAGCATAAACTCTCAATAACTTGGTTAGAGAATTTCGACCATTATCGGAATAAAGGATGCTCGACGCTCCAAAAGTGGTGAAAATATCCAAAAGATGGTATGCAACTTCTACGGTGCGTTTAGTTTGAAGCGCACGATAGATCACAGATTTGGTAAGATGGTCTTGGTAAACTAAAATAAATTTATAATTTCCATCTGGGGTAGTTTGTAGATCTATTAGATCAACCTGACAGCGTGAGTTCATTTCACTGTGAAGTATAGGTCTGACAANTTCTTCAACTTATTGACTTGAAAATTGTTAGATAAAAAATAATATATAAAACAATAATGCCTTGTCTCTAATCTTAATATCTAAATTATTTGAAAATTTATCCATTGTAGCTTAGACAATTGTTGATATTAAATAATGATAAAGTTTTATAAAATTTAAAACATGCTTATATTAGAAAACAAAGAATATATCATCAATTTTAGTTGAATAGCTTTGCATATGATTATTACTAAAGTAACTTTTTATACTATAGAGATTTTGTTTAAATTTTTTAAAAGATGAAAGCTATCAAAAATTCTTATGATTAAACAAAGTTAAACAGATTAAAAAAAAACACCCTGTACAAATTGAAATTTGTATTAAAGGTATACAAATTTAAAATGAAATAAAACACATAAAAATAATGTTAATGGCCATGGTGTTGGCTTTATTTAAAAGATAATTTTATGTCATTAGTGTTTAAACATGATTTCGGGCATATGGGCACCATGGTTGGCTTGAATGAAGCGCAATCAGGAAAAACAATTTTTGACCACTTTATTGAGCAACTGGGGCCGTTTATTGGCAATAACACGGCGAATGTTGACTTTCAAGTGGTCCAACGTCTGTGGTTTATCAGCATAGACTAGTGACTTCACATATCCTCAAAGAAAGTAATTCATAGGTGTGAGATCACACGATTGTGGAAGCCAGTTCACAGGTCCATTACGCAAAATTATGCGCTCATTGGATGTTTCCTGCAATAAATTGATGGTGTCACATGCTGTGTGGCATGTTGCACCATCTTGTTGAAACCAAAGCTCTGCCACATCAATACCATTCAACTGAGGAATGAAGAAGTCAGCAATCATGGCTCCAAAGCGCTCTCCATTGATGGTAACATTCTAGCCGGCATCATCTTTAAAGAAATATGGGCCTATGATTCCACCTGCCCATAAAGCACACCAGTGACTTTTAATGGATGTAAGTTACTCAACATTTGCCGTGTTATTGCCGATATACGACCCCAGTTGCTCAATAAAGTGGTTGAAAATTGATCTTCTCGATTGTGCTTCATTCAAGCCAGCCATGGCACCCATATGCCTGAAATCACATTTAAACACTAATGGCATAAAATTTTTATTTAAATAAAGCCAACACTATGGCCATTAACATTATTTTTACGTGTTATTTCATTTTAAATTTGTATACCTCTAAAAAAACACCTTATATTAATCAAATTGGACTTGTTTCATTTTTGTTAATTTTTGTTTTATTTTTATTATAAAACAAAATCTTAGATATTCTGGACCCTCAACAAATAGGGATTTAATTTTAAAGTCATCGTTATACTTTTTTTACAAGTTGATTTGAGAAGTGTCACTAGTTTTTACAATTTTGTATACTGGATATACAGTAATTAATGATAGTATTGTTGTTGTTGTGATTGTCGACTTTAGGTGGAGTTTTTCAACTTTGATATGTTTATTTTAAATTAATAGTCTGTTAATAACAGTTATAATTATTAAAATGTATAGTATCACATTTATTTCATTGGAAAGATTTAGTAAGATAATTTTTCAGATGAGAAATATTTCTAATTTCATAAAACAAGGAAAGCATTTCCATGAAACCTATTTCATATATTTCATACTCATAAGTAATATAAAATTATAATTTTTGCATTTTTGAAAAAGTGGTAAAAATAATTGTTGTAACACTTATGATTATTTCTTTATCAGCAACAATTCAATTAAATGTATTATTATCAGTAATAATAGCATAATCATCATATACATAAAGTGACTTAACCATGTTTTATTTGATTTTTAATTTAAAATATAATTTCACTATATCATAATAGTAAAATATATATAATTTATAAAATATAATAATGAAATATATTTTCTACTGTTATCTTATACATCATCATATACATGATAGTTACATTTTACAACTATATACACTTTCTTTAATAATATTTTACAGTAATATTTATCTTGATATACAACAAACAAGTCTTTTTTTTATTGTAAAATACAGTTTAAATTTCTTTATCATGATTATTATTATTATTATTATTATTGTAAACCTAAAAGATTAAATAATATATAAACTAAAAAAACACATAAATATAACATTTAATAAAAATAAGATTTCACCAAAGTCACAGATCTAAATTCTAATAATCTATTGATAGATTCCCTAATACAGATACAGACATATTATCATCCTTCTTTAATTATAGTATAAATGCATTCTAACATCCATGCATGCAAATAAATATAGTGTGACAATAATGAACATGTATTTTGTTTTCTATTTCTGTTTCTAAAATCTATTACATTTGAAGAATCAGACGATAACTGATGTCAGTCATGAGACGTCTCATTAGGGTTTGATTCTGACTGGAATAATAATTATATAAATTTATTAAATTACAAATAAATGTGATAAAGAATTCCTGTTGTTTTATCATTATCATCTTAATTATTGTAAATAGCAACTTTTGTCTTACAAAAAAATTATTTATAATGACTGTCATTATAATTATTTTGATTCTTTGGTATTAATAAATAATACATTAATTTTGAAACTAATTCATAAAAGTTAAATTTATTAATTACAACAAACTATAGTAATTTAATACATTAAAAATTGAATGATTGAAATTTAATAAAGAATATTTGCTTCACAAAAAGAAATTCTTCTTTTAAGACATAAAAAAATTTAAATATCAGTTTTGGAAAGAAATACCTCTATTATTAGTCTTAAAGATTTTATTGTAAACTTTCTATTTTAATTTTTAAAAATTATTTAGCCTTTGGATGTTAAATATTGTTAAACAATACACTAGTTAATATGGTGAGGGATGAGTTTACAAGCTCATCCCTCACCATATTGCAGAGAGAAAGATCAACTGTAGAAAACTAAGAGAAGTACCTAATAGATGAGAGAGAGAAGTTTGTCATAACTCTTGATAAAATGTGGGTATACCTGTCTGACACAAACAAAATTCAAGTGATATACAAGTATCTCTCATACAACATAGTATTCCTACAACATGGTTTCACTCTAACATGATTCAAGAATTGGAGACATCCTCACACAAAATGTCACAATTTTTCAAATTTAAACACTGTCATTCGATATTTTTTTTTATTCAAACAAGCATGCATGTTATCTTTTATTTGCCTATGGATTTTAGAATATTGAAATTTTCAATCTTGTTTCATGCCTTTCATCTGGTTTTCTTTAATGAGGACTGATTGTAAAAAAAAATTCATGACAGTGGTCCATGGGATTCAAAATTGTGAGTTTAATGGTCTATGAGGTCAGAAAGGTTGGCAACTGCTATGGAATAGAAGAGAAAAATGAGGAGAAACTATCAGTAAAGTTCCCAAAAAGATATGAATAAATGCCATCTTTAATATATTAGATACACTCATCCACACACAAAATGATAAAGACAATGCTATTGATTCCATTTCAAGAAATATTTTTTAAATTTCTTAAAAAACAAAAAGACAAGTATCATATTTTTTCAAAAAACTCTATTTTATTATTTTGTAACTATGTACTGTATACAGTGTGTAAAGAATTTGTCAGAAAAGTTATTAATCCTAAATAAGTAACATCCTAATTAAGAAAATACTGAGAATTTGGTCCTGAAATTCATTAATTAAGATTTTTCCTGTAATATGATTCTGTAATGTTCACACATTCATAATTAAAATGTCATTTTATTTTTATATTAAAAAAGGTTCATAATGGTAAAATACATTTTTGAAATATATATAGTTATAAATTAATTATTTAATGTGCTTTATTAAATTACCTAAATTTTTCAATAAGCTGCATAAGATGGACTCATTGGTGATGTGGGAGAAGTTGCTGATGGAATAATACTAGTTCCTTGTGCAGAGTCACCTCTTTGCCAAGCTTTAAACTTCAAAAATGCATCAGCTCCATAAAGACCAGTTCCAACAAATCCAAAGAACTGAAATATAAAATTTAATTTTTTATATAACATTTAAGATATAATTTGATAAACTTTTTCATTGTAAAAGAACACACTAATTTTTAACAAATACATTTCTAGAAATGTATTATTGTTCCCAGGCAGATTTTGAAATAACATCTCTCCTAAATGTACTTGTAATGAAATTTTCATCTCTTCAATTGTGTAAGGAAAGTGAACAGATTGAACATATTAAAAAGTCCATACACAATTTTACTAATTTAATGGTTAAAATGATTTTAACTAGCTAAGGCAGAATTTTCTTAATGAAAATTTTTGAATTCATTTATGATCTGTGATGTAGCTAGCTTTGAATAAAATATATATAGTTCTATAAATAAAAAAATATATTTTATGTTAATTATTATACACAAAATAAACAATATTTTTATCTTTTGTCATTAAAATTTTAATGCTGAAAGACAGTATTGTTTATTTTGCATATACAGTTCAACATTACAAAATATTTTCAGAATATATGAGAAAATCTCTCTGTTTTAATTTTTTGCTTACAATCTACAGCAATTTTTCATAATATCAATAAATGGCTCTAAGATCATTTTACTTTGTCAAGAGTGTTCTTAACACAATAACACGGCATCCAATCACATTTTGTTTATATGTAGGGCTGATGGACCCATTCACTTCTATTTGTGAATGGAATGTATTATTACATGTTTACATGTCTGTCAGTCCTCTAATAAACATCTCCAAGCTGATCTTTTAGTTTAAAACATATTTTAAACAAACAACTTAAGCTAAGCATAGATGACAACAATAGCATCTAACTGACAGCTTGACCAAGATGACAAAATTTTCATGACAGCCAGACTCTTTTCACTGTTGATATAGTGAAAATTCATTCCAGTTAACAATCCAGAAAGTTCTTATAGAAACATTACTAAAATATAAATGAAAGGAATTGAAAATCATAGTGAGAGAGCATTGTAATCTTTGTGTGGATTGATTTCAACTACAGTGGTTAGTTCTGTGGCATTCCACCATGTTATATATATAATAATTTTGTATAGTTTTCTTTCTTTGTCTATCCTTTCCAGAATGTTCTTTATTTAACTCTTTCACCTTGGATGGTGATGACTAATCCTGAGAACAAAAGAAAGAAATGATGCTCTGAGGCCTATGTTGGGATAACAAGGGTCATTCTTGGTGGGGACTTCGATAGGACTGGACTCACAAAGTGTGCCCTCTAGTGCTTTTTGGCAGCATATAGAGATGGAAGAAGACCTAAGAAAGATTATTGAAAACTTCAGTCAAGAAGGATCTTTGAAACACCAAGACCATCATTCAGGAAAATTTAATAAGAACAAGGACCATCCATTGACCCAAGGAAGAAAAGCTCTGGAAATTCGCCTCTCCAAGATCACCATTGAAAACTGGGTACCCACTTTCCTCTATCCTTACTCTATTTCCTGTTGCAGTCTACTTACTCCTTCCTACTTAGATTTAGTTAGTTGTAAGCATCTAGTTGTAGTTTGTTGTATATTTGTTGTAAATGTATTGTATTCGGTAATTTGCAGTGTCGTGATAATAGAGTCAACAACAACCTGTTATATCAAGATTTGTATGGCTCAGGTTATATACAGGTAATCCCCGTATGACACGGGAGTTACGTTCCAAAAAATTGCTGTGTTATGTGAATCCATGTTATAGGAAACAAAGAACTAGTGTGAAAAGGGGGTTAGGTTCCAAAAATTAAAAAAAACATGCTGTTAAATCTTTATTTAAATTGGATTTATTATTCATTTTTTTCATAGATAAAATACTTATTTATTATTTAAGTAAATATTTTACCAGAGGATTATTCATCCTATATGATGATCTCAGCATGAGNTTTTATTTTTAAATAATTTATCTTCATAAATTAAGTAAAAAAATATAAAAAATAGTTACCATCATTGTCAAATACTGACATATCTGAAAAACACATCCTTCCAAAATTTAATTTATTTCATTCAGATAACTAGTCTTAATTTGTACAAATCTTTGCTTACATACATGTAAAATCATAATCACACTATACACTGTATCGTCATTATAATCTCTATTGATATTAATAGTATAAAGCTGTCTTTATTATATTAATCAGGGCTGTGGAGTCGCGTAAAAATCTACCAACTCCGACTTTTCCTTACCATCCGACTTCGACTCTGACTCAGTTTCATATACATAACAATTTGGTAAGTAAAAGGGAGTCGGAGTCGGCGGATTTTTTGACGACTCCGACTCCACAGCCCTGATATTAATGTAAGCAAACTTCAGTCATCAAAGAAATTACAAGGAAATAATTAAAATTGAAATTATAGTGATTATACTAATCCATAACACATACAAACACATATAAAAAGCTATAAAATAGAAATCAATGATAAATTTTCTAATGTATTTATAATTTAGTCATTCATTTCTATAGATATTAATATAATTTTCCAGTTAAAATTTTTTTATTAAAAATGGTTTGTTATTCATTTTTTGGAAGTCTTTGAATGTTGGGTTTTTAATTTCATTCTGTATTGAGATACATTTGAATTTTCTTTTTAATTGCAGAGCATCCTTAACAAAGTCATAACTTGGAGTTGATGATCAACAGTTTTTAAAACTTCCATTTTTTCAGACGAGGTCATACTAAACAAACGTCCGAAGCAGTGACTCACATCATTATCAAAATACGTTTTGTTAAAAATTTAATTTTTTTTGTATGTTTAAATGTATGTAATTCTATTTCTTCTTCTAATTGTAATTTATTATTGACTTATTCTAAACTAACATTTAAACTATTACCATCTGATTATTAAAAATGATCATCAAATATATCTGAATCTTTTTATTGGCAATATTGTTACTTTTTGTATACTTTTATGATAAATAATTCTCATAGTTTTACTTGAAGTTTTTTGGGATTTAGATTCTACAAATCTTAATCATATTTTCTTTTTACTTTGTTTTATTTTATATGCTTTTTTACTAATTACCTTACACTTCAAACACTTCTTCCAGCAGATAGTTTCTTCAGCATATAGACTTTCCCCTCTTCAGGTACAAGAACAAGTTTATTTGATCTTTTGAATTCCAATCAGTGAGAGATGGTTGAGTTTCTACACAACTGAAAAAAATTTTTTTAAAAGCTGATGATCAATACCATTCAATTTGGATTCAATATATTTGAAAATTTGATTCAGATTCAAAACATACAAAAACATTTCAAATAATAAATGTTCATAGTTAAAGTTAGATGGCAGCAAAAAAGACTATACATAACTAAAATATTTCTTCATAGCCATCCTCATCCCTTACATAACATATTAGCATACATGCTGCTGCATAAAGCCTGCAAACTTATTTAATTAACCAAATACCTAAATATGGTCACCAGTGCTGTAACTAGGCAGGTGCAACAGGTGCACCCGCACAGGGCCCACTTGGAAGGGGAGCCCAAAATGCATGCATTTGTTTTATTGCACAGGGCACAGAAATGACTAGTTACGGCACTGGCGGTCACTTTTCAGGCCAAAAACATTAGTTTCTTCAGCATACAATCTGTTATAAGTAACATTTGAAGCATAAATTATTATTTATAGTTCCATCTTCTGTGTGCTTTGCTTTCTTACTAAATGAAGTAAGAAAATATATCAAAAAACATGGAAGTCTCTTACAATTTTATACTTTTGTATGAAGTTTTTATACAAATTTTTACAATTAAATAAAATAGACTCAATTAAATCCAATAATAAATTTTATTATTGGTCTGTTGGTTTCTGCTGGGTGTGAAAATCAATTGAAACCAATAAAATATCTATTCACATTGATTTTTATTGGTATAAATGTTTTCTTATTATAAGTTTTTATTGGAAAGATCAGACAATAGAAATTCTAGTGGTAATATATGTCAATAAAATTTTTATTATGACCAGTGATGTAATTAAAGAGAATAAATGAGAAAATATTAAAATAAATATTAAGTGTTCTTAATGTTGTCTATTTTCTTTGTCTAACATTTTGATAATTAAGAAATCATTGCTTGTTTCAGGAAGCCAACATCTATTAAATATTTATTAATAATAAACACTGACTTCATAAAAATAACTGTGATTTCTTTATTTATTTACAAAATTGGTGCCAAGTTTCATAACTTTTTATAATTAATAAGTACTTTTATTATATACACAACTGATTAACTCACTATGTAAACTACACACACACACACACAAAATAAATTACCTAACATTGAGCATTTTTGAGAAACTAATCATTTAGTTTTGAGAAAAAACTAAAAATTTTTTAAATCTTATTTTTACTGATAGATTAATATTTACTTTTTACATCTTAGTAATTTCAGTTTTTTTCTTCTCACAATAATAAGTTGGATGCTTGATGTCTTGGTTGTAACATGAATTGTTAATTCTCTTTCTACCCAATAGTTATTGTTATTATGAAATATTTAGTCTATTTTCAATGCATTGGACTAACAGATACTACTCGTCCAATGAAATTGTTGGTCGAATAGCTTCTATGGGTCTAAATCAGCACATAAAGCAATAGAAAATTTTAACAAAGTTGAATTCTTAATTGGTTCTATGCTGCTGGCTAGAGTGGATACTTTTTAAACAAAGAATAACTATAGGATTTCTCAAGAATAACTATAGATAACTTAGCTGTATGAACTAAATTAAATATCTGATTTGAAAAATTAAATTATATTTTTATTTCTTATGAATTGTTTTTGATATTTTGTAACTTTGACATACAAAATTTTCATTTTAACTATAGCAGAGGAATTTCAATTTGACATCATCTCAATAACTAAGCAATTAAACAAAATATTTCAAGAATATAAAATTTACCAAAATTTTTTGTAAGGTAATAGTTTACAGCTTACTTTTTATTTTTTAAAAATTTATGTCATCACAAATATTAATTATAAAATTCTCTAAAACCACATAACCGAGGACAATGATTTATATATAAAGGTGCCTTGAATTTTGGAAATTCAATCCAAAAGTCAATTTTGGTATAACTCATCCTTCCATATATTTTCAGCTGACAAAACTTTTAAGATATATGGTGACATTTTCTACCAATTTTGGGGTTTTGATAAAATCAAAATCATTTGTAAAAATTAATTTTTATTGTTTATTTTCTGTTTAATCAGT